ACCATCAAGTCGTACAGGAGAACGGCGCCCTCAAATACCGCACCCGATGCAATGGGCTTACCGTGCCCCACAGCCTTGTAATACCCCATCTAATGCTACCACTGCCTCTTTAAGTAAGTTGTCATTTACCTAATTTATTATCAGTGGTTGACACCAGCCAACCCACCCATTCCCCTACCCCCAAATGTTTCACAATTTTCAAGAAATTAAGAAAAATAAAGAAATTTCTGCTTAAATTTTCGAGTCTGAGATTGCAGTTCAGGCAGGTAGAGGTGCCATAATCATAAATTTTCATACCTGAGCCCCAACCGTGGGTGGGGTTGAAGTGTTATAGACCCTCCATCTGTGAAAGTCTCTGGGCACCCTCTATATCAAATTCCTGGATTTTGTACTAATACTAGTTGTAGCACATATATTACAATTTTGCTACAACTAATATCAGCTTTCCAAAGGGAACTAAGAATAATTGTGATAATTAATATATGATAAGAACAACTAAATAAATGACTAAGGCGGTGGCAGTGAAGATGACTACAAATTCAACGATGATCCATCTAATAGTATATACACTACTTGTTTTTCCTTTCTACATAAATATTTGGTCAAACAATGGATCATATCAGACCAAACCAATTTAAGATGAAGGCCCTTTGTAAAGAATGCGTTATAGGCACACTATTGAAATTTTATGTACAATCTCCAAATTTAAATTATTCTGCATACTGTACTTTCAATTATTAGCTGATTGATCAATTAAATTACCTTTGAACAGCATTAAAATCGTACTATAACCCCTTAACCTCTGTGTTTAAAAATCAGTATTTTTAACACCTTATTCACATTTACCGGGCAAATGAAAGTCAAAAGGTTATGTTAGCCCAATAAATGAGAAGAAGTTATAAATCAGTATTCTTAACACCTTGAGCTAGCAAGAAAAAATCCTAAGCAATTTTCTACAAGTACCTTTATTGTATATAATCTATATTTCTAGGCTCAAGGGGTTTGATATACATCGACCCAGTCATCAGGAGGAATGCTGCATTGAGTATCTCAGCCTCTGGACCTACTGGTGACACCAACCCTCAGACAATGTCCACAACCTCAAACTGCCTAGCTAGAGCGTTTGGTGTGGTCATACGCCAAGTCTCCGATCTCCTAGCAGTGTTGCCTAATTACCAAGGAGTTGAATCTTTGGATGAATGCCTCAAGGTCACCTATCAGGACACAATCGATATTCAGGTTATTTTACATTTGGAATTTACTTGAGTTTTAGTTTAACAATTGACAGAATTATGTTTTAATATTATCAAATTTTTATTATTGTTACAAGGACCTATCAACAAATCAATAGGTATTCTTTACTTGGTTTAAATTTTCAGTTGCTTTTCTACTTATGCTATGTTATATAGGCCTATTTATTTGTAAATATTTAATTTTGCTTTTATATTTCTAATTTTCATACTCCTCCAGCAGTGTTAAGTGTAAAGGTTCTAAAGTATTTATACGAAGCTTAGGGAGTGAAATTCATAGTTATGAGAAAAAAAATATACTGGATTTCAATCGTAAAATCGTTGGCAACCATTACCACTGATGAGTCAAAATAAATCCTGTTTCTATTCTCATAATTCTTAAATGTTATTTTATAGATGTATGTTGATTATCATGTCAAAGTTACAGCTGAATGGTTGACAGCAATCATGGACAGTACAGAAGCTCAGCTACGCTTTGGTAAAGCAGTCACATCAAGCACTGATCCAGCGCATCCCACACATCCACTCCACGCATCCTATGTCCGCGGTTTACGTGGATCTGATAGAGAAGCAGCCACACGTGAAGAAGAATCCTTTTATCGCAACATAGAAAACCGACGTAGACATAGGGGAGGACTGGATGCTCCACGTAGTGTAAGGGCAGAGGCATCTCATAGTGTAAGAATGGATTTTTTGAATTATGCATTGTCTTTGATGCGTGCCCACAACAGCGAGCATTCCGGAAGTCTTCCCGTTGTTGATGTGTCAGCGTTAAAGCATGCAGCATATGTATTGGATGCGCTTATTTATTACATGCGTAGCAGCGAGCATGACATTGTGCCACATCAAGTTCGTGTTCATGAGACATTATGGCATCAAAGCCATCAGTATGAGAAGGAAGATGCAGTTGACGATGATGGCACCGATACCAGCATAGTTGCTGATACCGATAGTCTTGTTGAAGAAGACCGCCATGTGCCAAGTACATCCACAGGCCCAAAGCATCCGTTCTTTGTACGTTCAGATTCCACCACCTTCCTGGGCTGCCCTCCTCCTGATTCATTTCACACGCCACTTGTTGATGCACTGCCATTGGCTGAAAGACCACATCTGCTTAAACCTGAAGCAACTCGCGAGGATCTGTTTGGGCAACCTCAACCATTTGTACCAGCAGCGGTCGGCAGCGCTAGTCAAGCAGACTCCGTCTCAGTGGACCAGCGGTATTTAGAAGTACTGCCTACAAGGCTGAGCATAAGTAGTCGGCAGGAGATGTTTGTGCCAGTAGATATTGATGATCAGTCACAAATAGACACTCAAGTTGGCACTGGAATTGAAGCTAACCTTAATATCCCACCAGAAGCAAGACTTGGAAGGTCTCAAAGTGATACATCAGATGTAAGGAAACAAGAAATGGCTAGCAGCTCTAGTCAGTATTCAGGTAATGCTTACTTTCATATCTTTTTATGGTTTTTCACTTGTTAAAAATGTTACTGTTTTTGATCATAAGTGTAGAACAAAAAGCCACAATTGCTAATTTGTTTTTATTTGAATCATTTCATTAAAATATTTAACCTTAAAATTATTTAATATAGAAGAACTTCATGATGTAATGCTACATAATTGCCGTCTTTTGAATACACAGGTTGGCAACATGATCAATTATTTTATAGTGGTTTTTTTTCAGGTTTTTGAATTGTAAAGATAATTGGCTAATTAACAAACTGATTATTTCTTTTTGAAGGTGCAAGTCTAGCTAGCGTTTCAACAATGCCAGCCAATCAGAGCCTTGGAAGCAGTAGTGACCCCTCTACCAGTTCCTTACCAACGAACCAAAGTCTTTCTAGTTTTACATTAGATGGCTCACAGTCTCTGACATCCTCAAGTTCTCAGGATGTCAATCCATTAAGCATGTTCCTACCAGTTGGTCTAAAGGTTGAGCCTTCTCCGCCAAAGGGAGTTATACGTGTTGCTGATAACTACTCTAGTGGTGGTCCATCCAGCGTGCAACCACAAGAGGTGTCTGTTATCAGGACTGCTGGATGGGTTGAGCAGCCTAGCCAGGCTACTGATGGTGCTATAAATTTCAGTCCAATGGGCCCAAGTGGTGCTTTGAATCTTAGTATGCAAGCTGCAGATGAGCAGTTGCGACGCAGTCAACCGGGTCCAGTGCAAGTCCCCAGACTGCCATTCCCTTCTGGCTACCAACTTAACCCTTCGTCTCGAGTTCCGCCTGGTGTTCCCACTATGCCTCCACGTGCTCCCATGTTGTCTTCTCATCCAGGTTTGAATGTAAATCCACAGAGCAACGCTCCAGGACCTGTTCACCTTCCAAGGAGCATAGTCACTGGTGAAGGTACTAGTTCCGCAGCTACTGGAGAGAAAACAGGAACTAGAGCTAGCCAGGCTACTGCAGGGACTTCAACAAGTATGTTTGAGAACCTCTGGTCATCTTTAATGGCGAACCCTCTGCAGTCTGTCAACAATGGAACTAGTTTATTTGGAAGGTAAGAATGTCAGCGTACATTAATTGTATCAATCCTAAGTTATTCATTTTAAATACTGTAGTCAAGCCCTCATATAAAAATCAGTGATGTCTACTAGTAGTGGAAGTAGCAGTACATAGTGGTAGTCTGCCCTTGACTCATGTAATGTCCAATGAAATTGTTAGTGATGATGCTTCTTTGTTTACAGGAATGCACAAGGATTATTTGGCCCACTGGTGTCAGGTGACATGTTACTCGGTCGTTGGCGACTGACCCTTGAACTCTTCAGCCGTGTGTTTCTTGAGGATGTAGGGCGTGAACCAGGCTCGGTTCTCAATGAGCTTGGTGGATTTGAAATCAAAGAAGCTAAATTTAGACGTGAAATGGAAAAGATACGCAACAATCAAAACCGTGACTTAACCTTAGAGGTTAGCTCATTCTTTATATTTTACTACTTGCAATGTTTTATGACCATAAGTCAATATAATACTAATAATGATATAAATATAATGATAATCATAGTAATGGCAATGATGATGATGATGATAATTTAATAATGATAATAGAAAATAATTATTTTTTTAATAAACAAAGTTATGATAAACTACTACTATAGTAATAAACTGGTCAAAAAGGCGGGTTCAGCTAAACCCTCAAAACCCCTCCTTGGTTGTATATTTTTTTTTAATTAAATGTGTTTTTTCATTCTATAGGTGGAGCGTAGAAGGGATCCTTTAATCCAGCAAACGTTACGACAGCTCAATACATTGTTCAACAGACGCACCACGACCAATTCCAATACCCCTATGGCAGTACATCGTGTCAAAGTGACGTTTAATGATGAACCTGGTGAAGGCAGTGGTGTAGCTCGCAGCTTCTACACAGCCATCTCAGAAGCATTTATGGCGCAAGAAAAATTGCCACCAATTGATGATGTCATGACAAATCTAACTCAACGACCTCCTCAACTTAGTGAGTAGCAAACATATAAAGTAATATTAGTATCAATAATTCTTGTGTTGTTCATGCTATGATTTAGCCTTAAGTGCTAGCATTTCATGGTTTACGAAGAAAAAAATATAAAATAGTAAGTATAAAAAAAACCTTGCCTACAAGTGACTTCCAGAGCCTTTTTGAGGTAAAAGGAAATAAAAGACGTATGAAATAATGATATAAATAATTATAATGCTATCACTTGTATCTTTGTAGTTGAAATGAACATTGAATATAAATAAATAATAAATAATATGTATGTGTGTTTTCAAGGTTTAATTCAAAGACTGAGAAGTAGAGAACGGGAACGGGAAAGAATACGACGTCATGGTACCGGTGAAAGACATAGTGGCCGCTTACTTTCCAGTCTTGACCGAGAACGTGATCGCAACCAATTATCATACGATGCTAGGCCATTCTATCCACGGGACAGTAGCAACCCTGAAGAAAGGGAACATGAACCACTTACAGCACCTAAACAAGCTCTTGGTGAAAGACTTTTCCCGAGAGTTCAGATGTTGCAACCAGTAAGAAACGTTTGTTTTTCTTGTCCACTTGAATTTGATGGCTCACACAAGCTAAAAAGGCTTCATTTGACTTTATAACAAAGATCTTATAAAAACAAGATGGCATTTTCTGCGAGTTACGCAAAACAAATGGAAGCGTTGATTTGGCACAGAAAAGTAATCACTTTTGGGAGAGGGTGTCCTATTCGTTGCCATGGATCTGAGATAGAGTGTTCGTGTTACGCGAAAGTTTTAACAATTACATCAATAATTGTTTCTTAATTGTTCTAAAGAGAGGGCGCATTGTAAATCGGACGCTTCTAATTGTTACGCGTGAAGGTAAAGTCACGCGGTGTACGCTATGATCAAAGTTTGAAAGTTTTCACTTTTGCAAGAGGGCGCCATATACTTAGTTATTACAGAATTTGCATGTGGAAATCGTAGAGAATGCTATCTTGTATTTATAGGATCTTGGCCTTATAAGCCCTGTGGAGAGGAGGGTGGCCTGACTATAAAATTTTTTGAAAATTAGGGGGTAGGCTGTTACTCAGATAGTACCCCAACAATTTAAATTTGAATAAAAACATGAGAATCACATTTTTAGGAATGCAGAAATAAAATTGTTTGTAGCACTGTGATAATACTGTATTTCTGATGATTGTTTAAGTAATGCTGGCTGGTGTCACAATATCTTTGGACATCCATACAGCCCTGAAACACAAATGGTGGTTGAGTGATAATCTTTTCTTCTTATTTCCCTTTATTTTAATTATAGTAATCATGACATGCAAGGCATAAAACACCTTGGGGCATGAGCTACAGAAAAGACTATTTGAGAACTTTTGATTCCCTTGTTTTTCAAATGTTGTCATTTACTTAATTTAAACATTTATTCATTTATTTTAGTCACTTGCCAGTAAAATAACTGGCATGTTGCTGGAGCTGCAACCATCTCGATTACTACTTCTACTGGCAAGCGAGGACGCTTTACGAGAACGAGTTGATGAAGCGGTTGATGTTATTCTCTCACATGGAAGGTAAGTCTAAATAACGTACTATAATATTTTTAATATAAATACAAACAAAATAAATATGATTTTGTGGTCAGATGATTGTTTGATTTTTTTATCAATAAACAATATTTTTCTCTACTTGCATATGTAATGTGGTTCGATTTATATAGCACTTTATACCGAAGTCCAGGTGTGGACTAGCTCGCACAGTAGCTTCCTTCTCCCCTAAGGGTCTCTTCGTTTGTGAGCTTCCCGGTAAACTGGTACCAGATATTTCTCGTCTGTCCACAACAGGGGCTGTATGGACCAGTACACTGGGGTAACCCCCTACTTGTCTCAGAAGATGTACTGGGTTCTTTATAGTGCACACGAGCCATTGTATACACTGGGCCTACGGTTTATAGTCCTTAGCCAAGAAGACTTGTTCTGCCACTAGAACATTAGGCGAGCATGCCATTCGAACCAGCGCCGATATTATAAGCTGTAGGTTTAACAGCTCAGCCATCCTACTCGCATCCATATCTCATATATTTTTTTTTTGAGAAATTAAGACCTGTTCAAGCAATTTCGATTTTATTTATTTTTATATCATACATAACAATAAAAAAAAACTTTAAAAGAAATGTTATATTATTTATTAATTCGCCAGTATAGTCTATACTGAACGTGAACAATCACATATTTTTTTTTTTCATACCGAGTATAAAAATACTGCTTGTGCATGGTCTGCCGAAGACAACCGCAAATAACCACTAATGGGGTTCAAATGCCCACTTAATATGTAAAGGTCTTCATATTATTCTTCTTAAAGCAGAGAGGATAATGCTGGTGGCCTTCTAGACTTAGAAATATTCAACCTTGCTGACAGAAACTCAGAAAAAGTAAGCAAAAAATCAGACAAAACGCAAGATTTAGAATTGGAGGAATCTGAGGAGAACCTAGACAACCATCCCTTGTTTTACCAGCCTGGCAAAACCGGATTCTACTCACCACGTGCTGGAAAAAACTCACCAGCTAGAATTAACTGCTTCAGAAATGTTGGCAGGTAAGAATATGAATAAGTATTCTTTAAAATTGATTTTTTTTTTTTAATCAATAAAATTTACAAAGAATTTTTGCAGATGTAAAAAGGGTTTAGAGTTTAGTAACACAGCCAGCTTGATGGATTTGTTGAGGAAAGTCTGTTACATAACACAATTATGAAACTAACTCCAAAGAAAGTGATACAAGCCATCGTTGATTGAAAAATTCAAACTGTATTTGTTATCTTCAGGAATCCTCAGGCTGTTCTATTAAATCTAGGAAAGCTTGTGTATTCAAGTTTGTAGTCTAAATTTGTTCTGAAGAATAGTACAGCTGCTACCTCATTAATTATCATGTTGTTCTTGAATACATTTGTACTGTTATTTATTGCCAAATCAATATTGACCTGAATTGAGAGGCCAAACATTAACAACACTTGTGATCAAAATTATGCAGATAGTGGATTGTGTACTGACATCTGTTTTCCATATTGTTTTGTAGGATTATAGGTCTATGTCTACTACAGAATGAGATCTGTCCACTTAGTTTAAACAGACATGTTATTAAATACATTATAGGAAGAAAGGTAAGAACCCACCATCACTTATTTTGATTTATTGTTTAAATGTTAACATTTTATAAAGTTGCAACTAAAGAGGCTTTGTACATTTCGATTATATTGATAATATACATTAACAAAATAAAGTTTAAACCAGCAAAAAAGTATAAAATAGAATAAAAGTAATAACAATAATTTTTTAAACATCAAAATATTTGAAACATCAGATTGCAGTAAGGTGAGATTTTCAACACAATCCCCATGCTTTGAAATGCATTTGATTCCTCAGCCCAAAGCACTCTAATTAAAAGTGTCTCTCGTAGAGGAGCAGTTAAATAAATGTTTCTAAATGTTGACAGAGTTCAACTAAACATTTTCATGAAATTTATTTGAACGTAATGGTAAAAAATGTGAACTTTGCACAATCATTGTTTGTTGCACTCCAATATATCAAAATACAATTAATAAAACAAGGCATACATTCAGTGGACAGAAAAATAAGAAAGGAATGCAGGGGATAGCTCTATAAGCCCTGAGGCTTGTTTCTCTCAAGGGCTTCTTGCTGAATGTGCATTTGTATTTAATGTAGAATCTTCATTTTATTTACCACAGTCCCAGGGAAGAACAGCTGTTTCTGAATCTAAGCTTTTCATATTGATGGTTATCAAATTATATTTATTATTATTATTCAAATATATTTTGAAAATTTGTGACTAGCTTGTTATCATGGAATACCACTTTAATATTTGTTGTCAAAATATTCTATTTTTGGTTGGATTTATTATCATCATTACCATACTAAGGTAATAACATTGAGAGTTGTAAGTTACGACTTATTTGTTGCTTTTATTTCCAGATTGGTTGGCATGATCTTGCTTTCTTTGATCCAATCCTATATGAGAGCTTGCGGCAACTGATGGTGGATTCAGAGCGGGAGGACTCTGGTGTTATATTATCCGCACTTGATCTAAATTACTGCATTGAACTGAGCAAGGATGAAGGAGGGGGACAAGTGGAACTAGTACCCGGAGGGACATACCTCAGGGTGAACTCTAGTAACGTGTATGATTATGTTAAACGTTATGCAGAGTACAGAATGATTGTTGTTGCTGGGAAAGCCCTGCTGGTAAAATTTAAAGCTGATTTTGAATAAGGCCAAAAAAAAAATTGTTGTGTTTCCCTTAAATGGAAAAAAATCGGTCAGTCAGACTTTTTTTTTTCTAACCAACTTTAACAAATTTAACAAATATAAATCAGTTTAAAGAAAGTTTTATTTGGCTTTGATCCACACGGTCACGCACTGGCTGGTCAAGCAAAACGATACTATGGCTATGAAAAATTTCAAAACAAGCGCCCTCTATGTAATACAATCGAATAAAAAGAGAAAAATATTTCGTTCATAGTTGGCCTAAAACAGAGCCTAAGTCTAGCTATGTAGTGGATCTATAGCGATGGCTAGACCTAAGCCTGTTTTTATTTATTGTTCAATATACCGTAAGGTCATCATCACTCTTTTTGATTCAAGCAACCACAAGCTGTACAGAAGTAAAGAATAGGCTAGATCTGGTCGTGGCTTGACAGCTTAGCGCAAGAGATCCGATGATGCATACACATATCGTCGTCGTGCTCAGTCCTCCAAATGCCTTCTATCTTACCGATTTTATGTGTGCATCTATGGCCGATATTGCAAGAAATACATGTCTGTTCTAGATTTTATGTACTAAATATTAATTTTGGTAGCAGTATTTCTCGAATTTTTACTTGAAAATAAAAATTTTTTTTAATGCCCAATTTTTTGGAAAATTTCGGTCAGTCGCGGAGGGCAACACAATAAATTTTTTTTGGCCTAATGATAGTCTGTTTTTATTTTCTTTCTTTAAATAATAATCTTGGTTTTATAGTACTGATTATCCTAATCTGATATTATAATACTTATGCGTAATGCTAATATTGGTTTGTGTGCTTTAAAATACTGGTTTTACTATTAATTTTTTTTGTGTGTCAAAATATAATTATATTGTAATTAATTCCCTATTTTGTGTGAAATAATATTTTATGTCTTTGTTGTGTTTGGATCTTTTTGTATATTTTATTCTTATTGTAGTCATAACACCTGCAGACATTTTTTTTGAAAAGGTCACTCTCTTTGAATATGAATTAAATAGAAAAATAATTAAAATTATCGGTTTATTGAGTTTTTGTAATGAAAAGGGTGTCAAAGTGCATAAGCATTATGTAATATAGATTTGTACCTTAGTTTTATTTACTGCTAAAACCTTTTGTAGAATTAGCAGATCGTTTAAGGTACTTCCTACCCAAATCATTGGATCCAAATTAGCGAATGTGGATAATGTAATGATGAATATTGTCAAATTTATCAGGATCCAGATAAAGTGCCATGCCTAAGGCAGTCAGTGTAATTTTTAACAGACAATAAATGTTTTTTGTTTTGTTTTTTTTTTCCGGTACTTTCAGTTAAAAAATGTATATTTTTCTATTTGCTAGTCAATCAAACAAGGTGTGTATGATGTGGTTCCAAGAAATACATTTGATGGGCTAACGGCTGAGGACTTCCGACTCCTGTTGAATGGCGTTGGTAAGGTGGACATCCTCAGACTGATCAGCTACACAACATTCAATGATGAAACAGGTAAGCTGACGACCAAGTAAATGGAGGCATATGGCCTTTGCAATTAGTAATATTGCATGAAAATATAGGGGCTTTAGCCTATGGGGCTTTTTTACTGTATTTTGTTTCTTGATCACGCTAACATCAATGCTGACATGTCAGTAAACCGCCAGATTCAAACGCTGACGAGGATGACAAAGTGTCATCGAAAGGTTCCAGAAACTAAACTGTAACTATGAAAGGTAACTTACACTCTTTTAATCTACAAAATAATAGTTATTTGCCATTTTGGTTTTAGGTTCAAGCGAAGCCAATGATAAGTTGACACGTTTTAAGCAATGGTTCTGGTCAATAGTAGAGAAGATGAACAATGAACAGAGACAAGACTTGGTGAGTAATCCAAATTGTCAATCAGTGAGCATAATGAACAACTAACACTTACTTGAAGAAGAGTAGGGTTGGTTAATACAGATACAACAATATCTGAATGCCACCTCTGCATTTATACCACAGAGCTGCCATCGTACACAATAAATATTTGCAGTGATACAAGCATGCGCACTTCAAACTATGAATTAGCTTATTGTTTTCAAATACTGTATTATGCTATTCTTTTTGATGTTAACAAAGACAATAAATTGTTGCTAATTTGCTGTTGTCATTTCAGGTTTATTTCTGGATGTCTAGTCCTAACCTACCAGCTAGTGAGGAGGGATTTCAACCGATGCCAACCATTACAATCCGTCCACCTGATGACAATCACCTACCTACTGCGAACACCTGTATATCAAGGCTATACATCCCATTGTACCTGTCTCTTAAAGCTTCCACTTAGGGTCTATTCTGTGATGTCACATTCAAGAGATGCAATACTTGCTACTAATTTAGGCCCAAGAATTGTTGATTTTCCATCTTAGATAGAATATCAGTTGTATTCTATATTATAATAAACAAAAAAAAAACTGCAGAATGGAAAATTTCCTAGGAGTTATTCATCTTTTTTATATCTTTGTTTTGGGTGTGGATATAGCATCCGATTGACTTTTTATCTTGTTTCACTTTTTAATCATGTACAAAAAATGACAAAAGTTAATTTACCCGATTGTTGAACGTAAGTAATCAAGTTGTTTTGGTTGTTGGCGATAAGACAGGAGAAATGTCAGCTTTTCTGTTACTGCTGTATTACAATATTTACTGTATGCATTTTTTTTCCCCTTTGTGCTTTAATAGGAAACTTTGCTTCATTGTGTTTTGCTCTGTTGCATTCAAGGCCGTTTTTGAATTATTTAAAACAATGCAACTGAATTTTAAAAACTGAAATACAGTTACATAGAAAAAATGAACCATAGAATCTCTATTACTTTTTGAATTCAATACAATTTTTTAAACAGAAAGTACAGTAGCATTATTTATATAGTTAGACTTCATTTTGCTTGAGGATTTTTTAAAATATTAAAGTCAAGTGTATACATTACATTAAAATGCATTGCAAAAAACTTGTATCGCATTGCTAATTTGTTCTATAAATTGTGGACACTGATAATGGAGCGACGATAAACAGTAATAATTAGTATGAAATGCAATTGCCATGAATGTAAACGATGGGCAAAAGCTCAACTGTGGGCAAGTAGTAGCACTGTCTAGGGTTAGTAAGCCAACTTAAGGGACCATTATTGTCCAGTGAGTGAACGTTACTGGCAAGATGTAGCCAACTCTTGTTGCTTGTGAATTTCCCCTTGACCCCAATAAAGGTTTCTTATAATGCAAGTGGCTCATCATTTTAATGTGTCTTATTATAGTGCTGTTTTTTTAAGTTGTTGACTTAATGGTAATGGCCAACTCAGACAGCGTCGTACGACGCAGCCCAACGCTATTTTTTGTCGCGTCAGGTCTGTGTGAGTTAAACGCAGACGCGATGGTGTGCGTCGGGGGCAGTCGCGTCATAGAATATTAAAGTGTTTAATATTTCTCATGACGGCTTAAGACTGTCCCTGACGATAAATCGGGTCAGGCAACTCAGACAGCGTCGGCCTTAAGAATGAGACTACAGTATTAAAATGTGCCCAAAGAAATTCAATTATGTTGCCTCTTGTTTTGTATGTAACTTTTTACAATGAAAACCTTGGAAATTGTCTGCCAGCCATTTTACTACGCAAACATTATTTGGTAATGTGTTGCATGTCAATTTTAGAAAATACTGTAATAACCTTGCTTACATTTACAACATGGATGAATATATTTGTTCCAAATATGTCTCACAAATGGTGTAGATTTCATCCCTCCTCTCCTCCACCGTCCCACCAGCTTAGTACTTTTTTGCATTGGGCTCTGCTATAACTTTTATACTTTCAGTTTTCGCAAGATAGGGAATCTATTATTGAAAGTTTTAATACATATGTTGATCTTTGTATGATGACCTTTGATGTCCTGTGACATAATTTAACCATGTAATTACATTTTTCTTTATACCAAATGATAGGGAATGTATTATTCTACACTCCGGTAACAATAATAACATATTTAGTTGATAAAAAGTTGTGGGCGTAAATGTTTCCATCCCCTCCCCCACTCCATATCAAACTGAATACTGTACAAAAAATGTTCCCATCTTTAATGTCAGTTTTCATGCAGATGCGAATACAGGGGGGATCACACCCCCTGAATTGTATTAAGAAAAATAATTGTATTGTATTATTAATATGAAGTACCTGCAATATTTTTTAAAGGTATTAAAGTGCAATTTCTGGGCACCTAGAGGTCAATATTCTCAAAATTGTCTCACAATGATGATGTGGACTCTCACGCATCCCCCTACTGCCAAGTCCTGCATCCGCCCCAGACATGCTCTGACAATTCCAGAAATCATAACAAAGTGTTTTTAAAACTTAAATGTATAGGTAACTGAAAAAATTCAGTTATAAAGCAGGGGTGCATGGGGTATTCGTAACCCCTGGAACATTTTGGATAACTTTGCAAGAATGTTTCCACTAATTTATGGCAATGTTGAGTTGAATTACTCCAACATAAGCCAAGCATATCTTGCATTGAACTGACGGTCCCATATAGTGCTTTACAAATTAATTGTGCAAGTAAACAACTTAATTCAAAAATTTAAAGATTTAAATTTGCTAGTAAGAAGCTAAATTTAAAAAATACTTGTACTGTATTTCTATACTGCTGTCTGTTTTATTTTATTGTTTTGGGCACTGAGTGTTTCCAGTACCAACATCATATTAGTTATAACAAAAACCATTCTAATTATTCTCCCAAAAGGCACTACATATTAAATTTTATGACAATAAAGTAGCTATATTTAGGTGCCATGTTTTCAAAATTTGCTCACCTCAGCCCATAACATAGAGGTGGGTATAAACTAATTTTAAATAGGCCTATTAGTCTGCCAATAGATTGGGAGGGTTATGGCTATACAGGTTTGCCTATTTCCAGGCATCCAGAGTACCATATTTTCAACATAGACTCTAACTCCCTGCTAATTGTATTTCTTATGGCTGCCCTTTGAGGGGTGGTGCTAATGGCCCTACACATTGTAAGCATCTATTTCCGGGCATTCAGAGTTATAAACAAGTTGTTCAATAACCATGGTGGGGGCTGTAGTGGATTCTCTCAGACCCCACACATTTTTACAACCAAATTTGTGAAGTCCCCCACCTCCCACTCTGACTATAATGACCAGACTACTTGCAAAATGCTTCCGACGGCTATGTAATCAGGATATTTGTTCTATTAAATACCATCATAATACCATAACAAACAAATTTAACTGAAATTGAAGTCCAGACTACCAAGTTCCCAAAAATTCGCGGGTTTCCCAAATTTTTATGGAGGATCCTCGCTTCCCAGAATTTTTACTGTTTTCCCCAGAAAATATAGAATTTTCATTGTGAATATTAGAATGGCTCCTAAAATGAATATTTTAAAAAATATTTATACATTTTTCTCTTCCAAATAATTAGGTTATTGATTCATTATAATAATTTTCAAGAGGGGAAAACCTTGAATTTTGAAGAACTTAAAAGACACCTCTGAAGTTGGAAAAACTCATTTCCCGCCTTCTAGGAATCAAAATTTTCCTTGGGGAGAACCCCGGACCCCCCCTTTCTTTTTGGGATTTATCGATTCATGAAAAAAAGAATACATATGCAACTACTCATTTTTTTAAATGTATGTATACACATATAACAGGCCCATTTACTGTAATGAGAAAGTTTACCTTACCGTTTTCAAGACACCTAGCTCAAAAGTCGAGAAAGGTCATTTCCCTCCATCTAGAAATCAATTTTCCCGGGGAAGGAATGTTGACCCCACCACCTAGATTTGATTCCAGATCTGCACGATTCATATTCCCATTCATCTTATAAGTGGGCCCCCTCACTTTGAAAATCGTTCCGCCGGCCCTGTTCTAATGTGTCAACTATTGACCAAGCAAAACAGGGCTAGGAATTATATGTGCCACAAATGCATGTGTTTATGTAAGGCCAAATAAAATTAATTGCTAATTTCATGTCCCTGCCCTCAAATTTTGGAGCCTCATGAAAAAACTGTTTGCTATTTTTCAAAAAACATTCATTTTTCCATAGACAGTAAAAAAGAATGATATCAAGCCTAAGAAGAGGTAGGAACATAAATGGTAGAAATACATTACAAAGGTTCATTTTACTTTTTACCAGCCATTATATCATTAGTATAGAATAGTAAAAAGCAAATAGTATAATACCTCAGCAAAAATTAATTTCAAATTCCGGACGTGAAACTAACAACAATTTTATTTGGCCTAAGTTCATGCTGTAATTTTTGGGGGACTGTAGTAACATCCAAGAGGTGGTAAGGTCAATTAAAAAGCAATCTCCTTATCCAAGAAACAACTATCTTGTTATCGCATGAAAATAATAATTGACAAATAACTGTCTTGCTTTTGTTTATACATTGTCACTTGTTTGTAAGTATATTGGACAAAACGGTATGAATGAAATGAAAAAAAAAAACTCAAAAGAAAAAAATCAACAACTTTGGAATCTATATATGCATACATTTTTAATGATCCAAAATCTATCATGAATATCATGAATTAATCACTGTCCAACCATGTATCTGTGTGATACAACAGAAACCATAAATATTTCTCTTACACATACAGGTACATTACTACTGTAAAATATAATATAGCTTGATGATTTATTCCTCCATCTAACAGAGAAAAAAAAACCATTGCAACTTCACAGGTTTGTATACCAAGATAAAGTAGTATACAATTACACACATATAAATAATGAGCCCTTAGTCCTGTGGTTCTCAACCCTCCCTCAACAGTGGTGGTGCCAGCAACAGCGGGGTAGTTTGAGAATTTCTCAAGCCACTGTTGTCCCTCAAGCCAGCAAACATCCCAAAACTAAGGATCCTGTAGGACCATGATATTTGGAGTGGTTTTCAGTGGCGTATCTAGAAGTATTGAAATGGGGGTGTAGGGGCCACTGGTGGTTTCAAAATAGACACTAGTTTGAAAAAGGCTGACAAACAGGGCCTACCTATAATCAATGTCAGGAAATCAAATAATACTGTATGCAACATTTATCATAAATATTCGTACATCTGTCCAAACGAAGACATGTGGTGGTGTAGAAAACAAAGCATAAATTATGTATTATATATACACTGCGGTTCTAGTTCCACTTTTCAAACCAACATAAATGACTTTATTGACATACACATCTGGCATTTGCAACAATGATACAGTTCTAGATACCCACTACCTACCAGAAATTAAAATAATGAAATACAAAATGTTAAATTGTATATGATTGTTAAAAAGTCATAAAC